TGTCAGATATACAGTTCGCAAATATTTTTCCCAGTCTGTGGGCTGTCTCTCCACTCTCTCAATGGTTTCTTTGGCTTTGCAGAATCTTTTCCCTTTGATGAGGTCCTGCTGGTCTGTCTTATCTCTTATGACGTGGGCACTTCGGGTTTTGATCAGGAATTGGCTACCCCTTCCAATTTCCGTAAGGGTGTCTCCTGCATTTTCTAAGAGGAGAGTGTGTCTTGGGTTGCTGCTTTCTGAGTATTTCAGGTGAATGCACACGTCATCCTGCACCATGCTTTCTTCATTAAGGTTTTGCTGATCTCTGTGTCAACGAATAAAGATACTGACTGAGGGCTCACCCCATTCCAACCATTCTCTGGGCACTTCTCTCTCTATTAATGCAAGTAATCTTCAGAGCAGGATGGTCATCAGGCATTTGACTATTGTGACCATCTTATAGCTGAGGATCCAGAGGTTCAGAGTGGTCAGGTCAGCTGCCCCATTTAGTAGCACAGCCACTGGGTCTGGACCCTGGGGAAGGTAATGCCAGGCCTGCCCAGAGCCACTGCCCTGCACTGCCTCTCTGAGCCTGTGAGCTGCCCCCTGAAGGCTCGGTGCCAGTGGGCCCATGGTCCATGAGTCTGCAGTGACTGGGAGGATGTGCCGACTCAGTGCAGCATGTGTGAGGTGGTGCAGGCATGAGTGTGGCTATCTCGGAGGGGCTTCATGTACGTGACAGTGTGGCACAGACCCCCTGGTCATTCTGCTGTGTCCCCTGCTGCCTTCATGTCCCCTACCGCCTCCAGTGTTGCTCCGTTGGCCACGTTCCACTGATGTCAGAAACGGTGTCTGTCCAGTAAAAGGCTGACTCATGGCGTGACTGCATAGTGAGAGGTACGGTGTCTGGATTTCTCCAGGCATCTTCATCACAGCTGCCAAAGGTCATCGTCAAGTCCATTAAATTCCTTCCAAGGCTATACTTTGAAGCAATATTGAAAATAGTCTTGAAGCAGGTGGAGTGAGGGATCCCACTGCGCCAAGCTGTGGTCACCAGCGACTCCTTGTCTTTTGACACTCACTGTGTTGTCGATCTCCAGCCTGCTACTCTTATGTGTGGTGAGCTGCCTTCGAGGCCGTCGTGGCTGTTGCTCAGACTGGAGGGGCGAAGGGAAGAACGGGTAAGAGCTGAGGGCAAGACCTGTCCTCCGATCTTCACAGGTGGCAGACGCTGGGGAGCAAGAGGGAAGGAAAAGTGAGGGTCGTGGGTCTGTGAAGGTACTGATGTTGATGAAGGCCTCTGGGTGTGGGAGTGCCCCGGCTTTGCTGCCCACACATTCTGTGGAGATCAGCAAAGTGGATTTCTCCTGCCACGCCTCCATCCGCAACGCTGACAGCTGGAGCTTTTGTTTTGGTTTTGTTTTTGGTAAGAATTTTCTTCCCTTTATAAAATATAAAGTCAAATAAAATCCCTCAGTTTTTTCCCCTGATGCTGTATACTTATGCAAGTTAACCAAGTTAGCCCTTGACACATATTTTTGTTCGGAACATAAGTAGCACTGAAAGGGGGTGAATTCAAAGGAGGCAGAAGGAGAAGCATGTTCCCAGGTGTGAGGCGACCCATAAGGAGAATTGGCTTTGGCAGCCTGATCTGTATCCAGTCTCTGCGTTTTTGATCCTCGGTTTTCTCAGATGAGAAACGAGGTTGGACCAGAATCCTGAGTTCTGCTGAATTGTAGTTTTTTAATTCTTGTATTCATAATGGAGAAGATGGCGTATTGTGGGCCACCACCTTTCCAGTGACCAAGGCACACTCCTTGAACGCACTTCTTTCTGTCCACATGTGTCCCTGGTGCTTCTGAGGGGCCGGTGCTCACAGTGTCTCTGCTATATGCTTCTCAGGGACCATGCTCCTTCCAGCGTCCTTCTGATGTGAGTGCTTTTCAAGCCAAAGTTCTCAGCTCCATCCTATTTTTTTGGTTCTTTGCTTTTTACAGATTTTTCTCAGGATGATACATAAATCACTGGCTTGTAAGCTAGAATCACGGCTGTAAAGTAGCTCTGAGATACTTGTGTTCAGGCCCTCAGGAATGGTGAATTGCACATGATATGTTGTTGGTTTAGGGCTCTGTGTTTTAGGCTCCAGCTGATTGCATTCCTAAGAGATATAATTTCATGGGCATCCTCAGTGGCTTGCGGATGTTAAAGCAGATATCTATGTTGCTATTTTGGGGGTGTCTGACTTCAGCACCAAATTCCTGAGTAACAGGGGAGCCGGAAGTGCCAGGACAAGTCCTTGCACTATTAAGCCCTGCTGATCACTTGTTCTCATTCCCTCTAGTGTTGTATCCAGTACCCAGTGATAGAGTACCTGCATTACTGGGTGCTATGCTTAGTCCTCATGGCTAGCATTCTCCTGGAAAGAAGCCATGTTTAAAAGTGTTTGCAACTCTTCTTTGGGTCATTTTGTCACTGAGTGACCAAAGCTGTTACTAAACCAAGCAGATGAGAAATCACCTGAGAATTAACTTGTTATGTGGTTTTCAACTTGTTGTCCTTTTTTCATGTTCCCTGACGCATATATGGACGATTCATAATAATATTTTACAGAGCCTGTCGGAGAAGTGAGTTTCCTAGACTAGTCACATCGTATATGATTGTATGGCCTTGAACACTGAACTCTGATGGCACTATGGTCTTGTGATTGTAACTTTCTTAACACGAGCCAAATCAGAGTGAACAGTCTCCTGGCCTGGGAGTCAGAACCCTGGCGCAGTCACAGCAGCTCAGTCGCTGGCATGTGAATGAGCCCCTCTATTCAAGGCCTCTGGCTCCAGGAGAGGCAAAACACACTGGGTTCTCATCGGGCTATTGGGTGTTACCAATGCGCTGGAGTGTGTGACATGCTCTTTATTGTGAGCACACAGTCCAAATACGGGGAGGTGAGCTATAAAACGTGCAGTCCTGCAAGTTTGCTCCTTACATTCCTACTGTCATCTGTGCTGTGTTCCACATCTCATATGTAAACAAGAACTGTGAGCTGTGAGCTCCCAGTTATCACAGCTAATGAACTCTTAACAGACAGCTATAAATATAGATTTTTATCACAAGGAGGAAATTAAAGTGATCAAGGAGATTATTCTTTCTCCATTGACATGTACAGAGTAAAGAAACGACTAATTAGAAAGTATTTAGCTGTTCTTTATATGTTCCTGAGAGGTCTGACTTTTCTGAGTCTTCATTCTTTGTTCAAGCATAGAAAATGAAAAGACAAAATCCTCTGTAAATGTTGCCATTCCATGGACGTCTCTCCTAGAGAAAAATAAGTTTAATTGCATTTGCTAGAACCTCGTGCCAGTCTGGGTTTTGTAGGCAAGAGAGGCACAGCATGAGATGCTTCCTGGCTTGGGTTTATCATATCACATAGTAAGAGCATGGCTTTAGGATAATGCCGTGAAAGGAATTACCTGGTCTCGTTACAGTGTCAGATGTTGTTTTATTCTGTTAAGAGCAGTACGTGCTAATTTTCTGCACGTACTGTGCTTATTTGCTTTATTTTTAGTAATTTAAGTCCAGAAGCACTTAATTATTGAGTACTTGAACATGACTTCTTTTAGTGACCGCCACCCTGAGAAGGTAAAGTAGGATTTGTGACCCACCAGCTTATTTCTAAGAAGTGATGACATGTGCAGATGTAAGGAATGGCAGCATTCCAGGTAAATTCAACCAGAGTCCTTTTCCTCAGCCAGTCCCTAGATGTGTTCATGGGTAAGGTTCCTCTTCCTTCCTAGAATGTTCATCTTAGGATTCTAACTTGATCTGGGTAGCACGATTAAAAGTGGGGAGAGCCAGGCCACAGAGGACCTCCTCAGACTCTCTCTGGTTCATTTCACTGGTGTTCTTCTGTACTCTGTTTTCCTCCCTGTTCTCTCAGAGTCTTTGTATTTAAAAACCTCAACATTTTCCTCTGGAAAATCAGCATCCTGTCTGTGGGGAGAGAAGTCATTCAGAAAAAGAAATGAGACAGAGGTGACATGAACCTAGAAGCCAGTGAAAGAAAATGTTTGTTCCACTCCATCCATAATACTAGTAAATAAAGTACACAGGTCAATTTTATTTTTTTATTATTTAAGAGACAGGGTCTCATGTCTGTCACACAGGCTGGAGTGCCATGGTATGATCATAGCTCACTATAACCTTGAACTCCTGGGCTTAAGCCATCCTCCCATCTCAGCCTCCTAAATAGCTCAGCTAAATTTTTTATTTTTTTGAAGTAAGGTCTTGCCTTGATGCCCGGACTGGTCTCAGACTCCTGGCCTCAAGTGATCCTCCTGCCTCGACCTCCCAAAATGCCAGAATTACAGGCATATGCCACTGCACCTAGCCTTATGGTTGTCTAACTGTTCCTTTGTGTATCCAGACCTTGTTTATTTCCCCAGCTATCTTAAATTTGCTGGTGAAGTAAACTCCTCACTGATCTTTCTGCAGAATTCACAAAGGAACAGGCCAGATGTTCAGAAACTGCTTGGGGTAGAAGCAAATATATTAAGACCAAAATGGTATGGTACTTAAGGACTGTTAGTAGATTTTGCTGTGGTCACCTTCTGCTGCTTGCAAGTGACTTGGAAGCCTGACTTTTGTTGGTCTTTGTGCTTAATTGCTAAGATCCCCCAACTTGGATCCCTCCCCTGCTATCTGTGGTCTCAAACACCCCAACGTGCATACACATAAATACACAAAGGCTGGTCAGCACTGGTTCACCTGTGGCAGGCAGGCATTGTGCTTTTGGGCATGAGGCTTTTGTGCTGCCTGGCCATCTTTGCGTGGGCCTCTTCCTGGGGGCTGTCGCACTTCTCCAGATCTCAGGTCCTCTGTCACTGTGGGCAGGCAGCCAGGCTGTCAAGGCACCATCACCCCTCTCCTAGTGTGCCTGGCAACCTGGAGATGCCGTCGGCATCTGTGGCCTCCCTGCCAGCTCCCTGCAGCGGCTCCCCTTGCTGACTAGCTTTCTGTATTCTTAGACTTGAATGAAGCCGTCCCTGAGACAGAGCGCCTGGATTCAAAAGCCCTGAAAATGCGAGCCCAGCTGAGCGTGAAGAACCGGCGTCAGAGGCCCTCCCGGACCAGGCTATATGACAGCGTCAGCTCCACCGACGGGGAGGACAGTCTGGAGCGTAAGGTGAGCTCCTGGACGGTTCCTGCCTGTGCCAGGCTGCCTCGCCGGGCTCGCGATCTCTTGGAGATAATAGTTTTTCTCCTGGCAGAGTCTGAGTCTCAGTGGGGACAGCTGGAATAGTTCACATCTCTGTATCCTGAATCCTTTGCATCGCTGTCATCCGAAGTATGTTCTCTACTCATGCAGTGAACTAACCAGAAGCATTATCCATAGCGTTACATTTTGTGGTGGTGCTTTTGCTGTTCAGCTGTTGGTTTTACTTAACGGGAAATAACAACCGTACAAGTAATTGTTTCTGTGGGCCGTAGGTGTCTGTGCTAGTGGCAGTGTTGATATGGTGAACTGTTGTGAGCTATGCATTCTCATCTGTAAATCAGCAAACAGAAATTGTTTTTCATGGGAAGTCCCTAAAAAAATGGTTGGTCTTATTTCAAAGTAAGTATTGCATAGAACCGATCCCAGTGGCATAATCTCCTTTATAATCTCTTATGCCAACAGCCTTCAGACAGTTTCAGTAACCACATGCATGTTACCAAATCCCTTGCACCCGAGGGTCCGAGAACTTCTTCTCCAGAATCAGATTCTGGGGTTCCGTCCCTCACCCCAGTGGCTAGCAATGTGCCCTTCTCGTCTGACCACGTAGCTGGATTTCAAGAAACACCTCTGCACCCAGAAATGGGGTCTTTCTCCTCTGCTTGGGGAGACACTGCACTCGTTTCTTCTTCAAAATCTGACAGTGTGGAAGACACCGCTTGCCAGCATCAAGATACCAACAAGAAAATAGCACAAGAAAAAGGTATTGTGAATTTTTATGTTGTTTTGCTTTCGCTTTATCTGACTTCTGCAGTATAAAAATGATCTTTTCTCATAACCATAAGTCCTTTGTCTTCTCACAGCTAATAATTCATATTCCTTTCTTTTTATATCGTGGGATAGGAGAAACAACCCCTCCATAGATTGTAGTTTAGTTTTATCTTTTTCTGCCTGGTTTCATATTTTTGTCTCTTTGTCTCTCCCCAAGTTTACTATTAGAGGGAACTCTTTGGGAGGACCTTCTAGAGATATTGCAAAAGAGCAGCCCAGAGTTTCAGTAAACATCAACAGGCTATATAGTGGGAAAAAAACAAAGGGATGTCAGTCTTACCCCATCAGTTGGCTTTTATGTAGAAGAAAATAGGAAAGATTGATATTACAGTGACTGTGATAGAAAAATCATAAAGGTAACACAAAGAAGGTCATCAATTAAATTTGAAATAAGCTCCAGAATCACATTAGAATTTTGCAACAGTATCAATAGACTTTAGTCTTTTTAGTTGTATATTTTAACTTATTGAGGTAATAAAATTCTGTTTAAACAAGTTAAACAATGCAGAGATGTGTGAAGGATAGATTCATTCTTTTTCCATGTCCAGTGTGTTCCTTTAAGGTAACCAGGTAGATTTGATTATATTATCTTTCACATCTAGAACGAAATATAAATTACATGTATGTGAGTGTATATATGTTCGTCTCACACACACACACACACACACACACACACTTTTGGTGCCTGTCTGTTTTGTTTTTGTTTAATTGGTTTGTTGTTTTTTTTTAATGGGATTCGAATCTCATTACTCTGCAACTTTGGTGGCACATAATGATATTTTATGGGCATCTCTCTGTGGCAAAATGTGCAAATTTAAATGACAGCAAGTCTTCACAAGTGTGTACATTCAAGAGAAATCCCGCAAATAGCTACTCAGCATCACAGGTTCAAGTGTGCACAGCAGCTCTTTTTGGTGACAGCAAAACCAGGAGACTGTCTTCCTCATGCCGGTTAATTGGGCAGCTCATGCTAAATTCTTAGTCTCTGGGCTCACACAGCACTGGACCTTTGTTCAGTCAAGTTTAAGGACAGTAAATTCAACTCTATCAGTTTTCTACTCATAATCACTAGAGATGATTGCTCTAAATTTATGTGTGGTTATTAACACATTGCCTGACACAGAGCATACCTTCAAAAATATTCATCGACATAATGCCCTGATAAGTAGAACCTGGCTTTTTAAACTTTGCAGGTTTTATTTCATGTTAATATGTTTCATTGGGCCTCAGTAAGTATAAATATGGTAAAGCCATATCACTGTTCAGAGGAGAGAGGCTGCATCCATCTGAGGTTGGCAAGCAAAGCTTGGCAAAGGAAATGCAATGGAGTAGCTGACAAAGGACTTAAGAAGAAGAAGAAAAAAAAGCAGGTGAGAGGACATGGAGACAGAGTGAGGCATGAGTAGACACCAGCAACAGAATGTGAATTCAGAGGATGGGCTGCCCTAGCCTGGCTGAAGCCATTTGCTGATGACCATGGAGTCTCATGCACAGAAATGAGCAGGGAGGTTAGTTCTAGCCCTGCAAGATTTATTTTTATTTACTTTTTTGCATCAGGGTCTCACTCTGTTGCCCAGAGACCATATATATATATATATATATATATATATATATATATATATTTTTTTTTTTTTTTTTTGGTAGAGACAAGGTCACACTGTTTCTCAGGCTTGTCTTGAACTCCTAGGCTCAAGCAGTCTGCCAGCCTCAGTTTCCCAAAGTGCTGAGATTACAGGTGTGAGCCACTGCACTCGGCCTGTAGCTCCAGGATTTAAACATCTTAGATAACTTATCATAGTGCTAGGAAATCACAAGATGTTTGAGCACAGGAAGAAAAAGGAAAAGATCCCAGGAATGGGGAAGCAGAGTTAGGACACAATGGGAGGTGCTAACCTCTAAGAGGAGCCATAGATAATGACGGAAAGAATGATACAAGGACCCTCAAAACACAAGTTGACCAGATAACAGGGAGGAAAGGGAATCAGGACCAGTCACGGAGATTCGAGTTTGAGGACAGATAGACTTGTCAGTAACAGAACATAGGAAATCAGGACCATTGAGGGAAACGGGATTAACTTACTGATTCTTCAGAGGAGGTTATTTAGAGCTCAGGAGAGAAGTCAGGATTGGTAGGAAGATTTGGGAGTCCCCGTCATACAGGAAGAGAGTCAGGTGTGTTCTGACAGTGAAGCAATGAACCTTACGACTGCCGAGCACTCGATCATTTGTTACCTTTGAAAAGGAAAGCCAGGTTGCCATAGCTTCAAGCCGAGGTGCCCAGTCAGGGGGCTCAGACTTCCAATTGGTCACCAAGGTAGACTTCAAAAAGCCAAATATTTATTATTATTATACTTACATAAAGCTGGATATACAAACAGGAGTGTGTGTTTCTTTTTTCCTGAAACCTTGCAACTCCAGTGTTTGTTTTTATGTCGACCAGAAGTTCTGCTGTGCATTTAAGATGAATTGAATTGGTTTAAAATGGAAAAGTGATACTCCTCATTCTTATCTCTCAGCCCTCATGGAGGCATTCATCCCAGGGTTCCCGGAACACTTGGGCAGGTGTATGAGATGGTGATGTGAGATTGCCTGGCCGTGAGCCCTATGGGAGCAGAAGCAGGCCTGTAGTCCCCTGTGTCCTAAGAATTGTGACATGAACAGGCTCTGGAGCGTCTCCATTGTCTCCCCCCCCCACCGCCCTGTCACAGCATCTCCCAGCAAAGCTGAGTTGGGAAATAACTAGGCAACCTCCTCTTGAGGGCACAGTCCCAGCCATCAAGTGTTGATCTAGGATTGATCGGGAAGAATTCACTTTTTTTCCCACTTTTATTAATAAAATTGAAGTCTTGCTTTTTTAAAAAAATGTCCATTAGCGAAGTCACCTTCTTTAGAAGGTGATTGTGTCGAGTCTATGGATTTTTTTAAATGGTTGTGTCACATCTGTGGCAGGTTAATTCAGTTACCCGAGGAGTGATGATGTAAATATCCATAATAAATATTTGAGGCTTGAGGTGGATTTTGACATGGACATATTTCTGACTCTTGTATTTCATTATGTACATTCCAAGGAATTGATTGTTGTCATCTGAGTATCATTAGCTACAACTATGAAAAGCTCATTGCTAAAAGTCCTTGCAGCATTCGTCAGCATCCCGCGCTGCTCACAAGCTTTTAACCCAGACTCCCAAATGTGCACTATGTGGGCCTTCATGTTCCCCAAGCATGCCTGGCAATGTGTGTTTGGAAATTTCTCTAGAAGTAAACAAAAATCATAAGCAAAATTAGTTTGCAAGGCTAGCTGAATACTTTCTCAGGTAACTGAATTAACCTCTACATTCTGTGCTAGAATGTTCCTAAATTTTTTAAAATTATTTTTAAAAATAAAAGACAGAAAAACAGACCCAAGCAGACAATTAGGGAGAAGTAGTTTCACAAACAAGCACATCACATTTGTTAATCACCCATATGATTGGCTATGTGAAAACAGGGCACCAAGCAGCACTCTTTGCTGGGTAGTTCAAGGCACAGCCTCCAGGGAGTTTCCTGCCTCACCTGGGGTGGAATAAGCACCCCTGGGGGCCTCTCGTTTCCACAGACGTTAAGCTCCATCACAAAGCCTCTCTTCTGACTGGTCCTTGGCCTCATTTTGAGGGCCTCGTTTTGAGGGCCTCATGCCCCAGCAGTTGCTACCCTGGAGAGAGTCATCGAAGCCCAAGGAGACAAAGACCAGTCAGCTTCAAGCACTGAGGAAACGCTGGCATCTTCCATGCCACGGGAGGCCCGCGAGGCTGTGCTCTCACCCAGCTACTAGGAAGACCTGTCACAGATAAAAAGAGTCTAAGCTGAGCGCCTGCTCAGGAAATTGCCCCACGCTGCTTATTCTGGCTTACCGTGTTCATTCCAGTGAGGCTGAGGCAGAGACACGTGGCAGTGAGCCCTGGACGTCCCTTACCTCTCTGAATGTTCCCCAACACAGCTGTGCTTCCTGTGTCTTGGAAAACAGCATCCATTGTTCCCTCTGCAGTTAGGACAGGGGGTAAACCCCTCAGATTCAGAGATGCTCTGACTTTTGAATCATGACTTTAAAAGTAATAATAATTGATCTTTTTCATAAATGTATATGTCCTAGATGGTGCCACAGGTCCCAAATCACCAAGGGCTTCCAGTTCGTTGGTGATGCAAGGAGGAAACATTAAGCGGAAGTTTGTGGATCTGGGGTAAGCACTTCACGATGTGAAAGGCAAGCCCTCTGTAAAAGGAGGAATTAAAAGCAAAAATGTCCCCTTCCCCTTCTGACTCTGTGCTGTCATTATAGGGCACCCTTGCGAAGGAATTCCAACAAGGGAAAGAAATGGAAAGAAAAGGAAAAAGAAGCCAATAGGTTTTCTGCAGGTAGCAGGTACGGGTGGGCGATTAAGAACACAGATTTATTTCCATCACTGAACTTTCTGGCCCCTGTTCCACAATCAACCAGAATCAGTGGTCAGCACCTCTGAGCTGAAGCGAATGCCTAGAGTTGAGATGAAAGAAAAAAATGCATCATCAGTTTCTATCGTCTTATGGAACTGACATCCCTCACCTGGCTCGGAGCATGTCTGCTGGTACTTAACTGCAGAGCCATGGTCACATGCACAGTTTCAGCAAATGTTTATCTAGATGCAGCATAAACATATCTGTGTGATCCTTTAGATGTGTTTCAGATGTTCTGCCTGGCTGTCTGCAATGCTGGTACCTTCTCTTTCTGTGACCTCTCAAGGGTAATATTTGTGTGAGCAGCTTGTTGGCACTCATGACTGTCCTGTCCATATGTACATGCAGTGGCCACCATCTCTTGCTGGATTCTGCTAGTTTACTGATTTTGCAGAGTTAGCTATGCTTGCTGTTCCATCAAGACTTTCCTGTAGAGCAGTGAGCTCCGAGTGACTTGGTGTCCAGCCTTCCCAGTTTCATTCTGAGATGACCTCCTTTTAGGGTTAGGTCTGTCTAGGGGGCAGCAAAGCCTCCAGCTCCCAAGTCCAGTTGCCTGGTTTCAAGTCAGCTCCCCCAGTACCTTTAAGGCCTGTAGAACTTACTTTCTTCATTCTCTCAGATAAAGTGAGGGTGCAGTAGTGCCTTCCTCATAAGGCTGGGATAAGGATTAGATAAGTTTTCATGTACAGCATCATTTAAAATTATTCTTGACACATAAGAGGTATTTAAAAAATAATAAAGACAGCAGTTTGCTATTATTATTCGCAAGTTACAAAGTAGTTTCACATGTATCACATCATTTGATCCTGATAATAAGATTGGGAGGGCAGACACAGATGACTGATTTGGGTACTGTATTTCTCATCTTACCGGCCCACTGATGCAGAATTCCACCATCATAGAATTTAAGTGACTTGCAGGATCACGCAGCTCATGACACACCGGGCTTGTGCCTCCTGTGAACACCTTGCCAACACACCAGGCCACCTCTGTTAGATGTGCATCAATGATACTTAAATATAACTCTTTATGAAACTTGGAAACATCTCAGTATCCATTAGACTGAGGAAGAAACAGATAAATGCTAACAATGTCTGGGGACACTTAGCGCATCCTGGGTTGCCCCTGCTGTTACCTTTCTCTTCTCCCCTTTCCTGGCATGCACCATGGAAAGAAACTTACCTCCTTGAGAGTCCAGGATTAGTGGACCGGTGACATGAGAATACAGTTCCCAGATCAGTCTTCTGTGCCATCTGAGCTCCCTGATGCTGGACAGGGAAAGACGGGAAAGCACAAGTGTTAGAGACTACAGTCTCAGGGAAAACAAGTGTAGATCTGAGACCATCTGCAATGCCAAAGCAGCTTAATTTTGTGTGGTTTTGGAGTGAGAAGGACCAATTGTTTACTTTGCCTTAAAATTAGGAAACTATCAAACATAGGGAAAAAGAACCAAATCATTAGACCATTGAGAGAGAAGGATGGACAGAGGCGCAGTGGGAGAGGAGCTTGCACACATCTGGCATGATGCTGTCACTCCTGTGTCTCTGTGCTTCAGGGACAGTCACTGCTTGTCCCCTGTGAGGCCCCACCTGAGGGAAACAAGCACCAGCAATGGCAGGGGCGAGTGTCCCTGGGAGTCCCTCAGGGTAGCTGGAGAGGATGGTCTTGTTGCGTCAACTCC